CCTCACTCTGTCCTCTGTATCCTCTGTCCTCATTCTTTCCTCTGTATCCTCTGTCCTCACTCTGTCCTCTGTATCCTTTGTCCTCAATCTGTCCTCTGTATCCTCTGTCCTCACTCTGTCCTCTGTATCCTCTGTCCTCACTCTGTCCTCTGTCCTCACTCTGTCCTCTAACTGCGTCCATATGTCTCCTCTTTGTCTTTTTCCTGGCAGCTGCATTTCTAACATCCTTCTACCAATATACCCACTGTCCCTCCTCTGGGCATGTCCAAACCACTGTCCCTCCTCTGGACATGTCCAAACCACTGTCCCTCCTCTGGACATGTCCAAACCATCTCTGTCTGGTGTCTCTAACTTGATCTCCCAGTTGTTCGACCTCTGATGATGTAGTGGAGCTGAAAGTTTGTGGACTCCTTATAATTTTCTATATTTCTTCATAAATTACATAAAAAGATCAGATTTTCACACAAGTCTTAAAAAGAGATGAAGAGAACCAGTTAAACACATTTTATTTATTTATTTATTGAGGGAAATGATCTGAGTCGTAAAGGTACGTGGACCGTTGCTTTCAGTACCTGCTGTGACCTCCGTCTGAGGCTGAACCCGTTTAGTTTGAAGGTTTCAGAAACATTTTTCTGACTCTGCACAAATGGATTAATCCTCACTCTGTTTGTTGTGTGCCTCCTTCAGGTCCGGTGGTTTATGTTCTGGACCTGGCAGACCGGCTCATCTCAAAGGCCGGCCCCTTCGCTGCGGCGGGGATCATGGTGGGCTCCATCTACTGGACTGCCGTCACCTACGGAGCGGTCACAGTGATGCAGGTGCGACGCCCGTTTCCATCGGGCCGATGTCAAATCAGCAGCTTCCTGTCATGCTTCCTTCTCTCCCATGGTTTATATTGGGTTCCCAACCGTGGTCCTTGTGGAACACCATCCTGCGTGTTTTAGATGTTTCCCTGCTGCAACACACCTGAGTCAGTGATTTAATCACTTCCTCATGTTCTGTAGAAGCCTGTTAATCACCCATTAATTAAAATCAGGTGTGTCAGAGCAGAGAAACTAAAACATGTAGGATGGTGTTCCTCAAGGACCAGGGTTGGGAACCCCTGGTTTATAATCCTAAATAAGAGTTTGCTCAGTAACTCTGGGTCTGTTCCATCTAGGTGGTGGGCCATAAGGAGGGCCTGGACGTCATGGAGCGGGCCGACCCCCTGTTCCTGCTCATCGGGCTGCCCACCATCCCCGTCATGCTGATCCTGGGGAAGATGATCCGCTGGGAGGACTACGTGCTGCGTCTGTGGAGGAAGTACTCCAACAAGCTGCAGATCCTCAACAGCATCTTCCCAGGTTTTGTTCACACACAGAGACTGAAACCCGACCAGTCGGGCTTCCTGCTGCTGACCTCTGACCCTCTGACCGCAGGGATCGGCTGCCCCGTGCCTCGGATCCCCGCAGAGGCCAGCCCCATGGCTGACCACGTGTCGGCGACACGGATCCTGTGCGGCGCTCTGGTGTTTCCCACCATCGCCACCATCGTGGGGAAGCTGATGTTCAGCAGCGTCAACTCCAACCTGCAGAGGACCATCCTGGTGGGTCCACACACAGAACCCAGTTCTCTGAAAACAGCTGGAGTGATTCTTTACGACCAGAACCGATCCGTCGGTTCCGTTCTTTCACTTTAGTCCCTGGTTTTATTTTGAAGAAATGGCTCCACTTCCTTCTCACTGAGCGTTCTGCGACTGTTGACACGAGTTGGATTCCCAACTTCCTGTTTAGTTTTAATCATGGAGCTTCGTCTGCGTTTATTTGAGCTCTTTCTTCATCAAAACATTCGGCTCCGTCGTTATTTCAAATATATTTCACTTTATTTACAGACGGCCTCCATCGAAAACACGAAGATCTTTGAGTTCTACGTTTGCTTCATTTTTAGCTGTTAGCATCAGTTCGTAGCTTTAAGTTTAGCTGATTTTAGCATCCGTTTATGCTCATGCTGGTTTAGTTCATCTTCAGCTCGTTTCATTCTCCAGTTTGTGATCAGATCAGCTGTTTTTAATCACAAAGCTCCTGTGAGTTCTGGAACGTTTCCTGTTTGTAGCGGAACAGGAAGCTGCCCGGCCCGCTGGGTTTAGGACGGTGGGCGGCACGTGTCGGACAGTTGGTGTAAAATTAAAGATGGCCTTAAGCCACGGGGAGGCGGGGGGGCTTTGATGTGGGGCTAAACCTGTCTTTAGCTCGTCTCTTACAGCTGTTCTCTTCCTGCAGGGCGGCATCGCCTTCGTGGCGATCAAAGGAGCGTTCAAGGTTTACTTCAAACAGCAGCAGTACCTGAGGCAGGCCCACCGCAAGATCCTCAACTTCCCCGAGCCGGAGGAGGCCTGAGAGGGGCGGGGGGCTGCTGCTCCTCATCACGTGTGACTGCAGAGACTCATGGCGCCCCCCATCAATAAATAATGAAACCCCAACCAACAAATACAACCCGGGCATGTGTAATCTAAGAGTTTTATAAAATATTGTTTAATGTTGTGCCCACATTACGGCTTCTGTCATGGATTTATTCAGTGAACGTTTTTCAGAGGAGACGATAAAAGTTGTGAATCATGATGCAGCAAATTCACTGAAACCCGAATCATGATGCAGCAAATTCACTGAAACCCGAATCATGATGCAGCAAATTCAATGAAACCTGAATCATGATGCAGCAAATTCACTGAAACCTGAATCATGATGCAGCAAATTCACTGAAACCTGAATCATGATGCAGCAAATTCAAAGAAACCTGAATCATGATGCAGCAAATTCACTGAAACTTGAATCATGATGCAGCAAATTTACTGAAACCTGAATCATGATGCAGCAAACTCACAGAAACCTGAATCATGATGCAGCAAATTCAAAGAAACCTGAATCATGATGCAGCAAATTCACTGAAACCTGAATCATGATGCAGCAAACTCACAGAAACCTGAATCATGATGCAGCAAACTCACTGAAACCTGGCAACGTTTCACCATCTTATTGTTCCAGCTAAAGGATGAGAGTAAAACTTAACTGGGATGGATCAAAACAAACGGGACACTTTGAAGTTTGATGCAACTTTTATGGAAACGCGAGAAATAAATATCTTACCTGTTGTAGATAACTTGCATAGGTCTGACCAAAGTGCATCGCAACTACATTAAAACGACTTGAGACTTAATTTTTTTAAATAAAAGTCTGCCTAAATAAAACTTTCTGCTGAAACGTTAAAATGAAACGGACGTTCGTGTGAAGGCGTAAACCAATATAAAAATGTAAAAGTCTTAAAGAAACAATCCACTTTGGTCTTGGTTGTGTTTGGATCATGTGTTGGGCCAGAATCTCACCGGGCTGCGACGGTTGGTGAACTCCGTCCACGAATCTCCAGAACATTTTCAAATTGTTCCCGGACACTTGCAGCCGTGTGGTTTGAACTTTAAACTACAAACACTTTCACTCTCTGGCCACACGCTTTCAGTTCAACTAGAATTTATGGCCCAATCATAAACAGGAAACAGGTGGTGGTGACTCGCCTGTCGCTGCTTCTGATTGGTTCAGATTTAGGGCATCAGGTGAGGCCTGACCAGTGATTGGTTAAAAGTTGAGCACAAGGAGCCAATCAGAGGCACAGCTGGACGCAAACGATCATCCCTGTGAGGAAGCAGGAAGTCTTTCTTTAGGTTTTAGTCCAACAAAACGTGGATGGGAGACGTCCCGGGTGACGAGGTGGGGAGGGCTCGAGGCCCCTCCCCTGCCCATCACAGGGGCGGGGCCTCGAGCCCTCAGTGACAGACAGGGCTCGAGGCCCCGCCCCTGTGACTGGCAGGGAACAAAGCCGAGGTTCGTGGAGGAAACGGGTCGTTTTTGCATTCTCTCTTGCAGATGTGAACTTTGAGCAGTCGCAGCTCAGCGAGACCGCGCTTTTAACTCGTCCCCATTTCTGCAAAATCTGTACAAAGAAAACATTGATCATAACTTTTAACACATGAAAATGTACAAAGAATCATTTTAAAGTGTGTAAAAAAGGTTTCTAATATTTCTGACTGAAACTTGTAAACTTGGTTTGCTGAGAACTCGTACAAATCTTAGTTTGATAAAAAAATGTGGAACAAGCTCGTCCACGTCTGCAGAAACAAAGTGTGAACATGTTGCATCATATCTTTGAATAAATGTTAAAAACAACATCCAACGTGGGTTTATTCACTTTTTATTTAGAAACACACAGAAGACCTTAAAAGAGCAAACTTTAAATATCGGCACTCTTCACGTCTCCTGAACCCGACCAGACGAATACAATCACGTCAGAAACATTCGAACTAATTAAAAAGTTTATTTTCTAAACAAACTTCAGGTAATTCCGACACGTCCTGCTGCTAGTTTCCTCTAAGACACTGACAAGTGCTCTAGTTGCTGCGGAGCCGCTGCCTGCGGGAGTGACGGACATGCTAACGCTAACTGCTGCTGCTTGTCTTTGGATTTTCACCACCAGGAAATAAAACTGAGTTTTAACGTCAAAAGAACAATAAAAATGTTTTCATCCGGTCGAAGTGCTGCTGAAGCTTTTCATACAATCATGGAATCGTACGGGTTCTGGTCGTTCGGATCCCATCGGTTCCGTTAAGGTTCGGCTGCGAGCCTCAAGTTTAAAATATTTTAGATTGAACTGAGGCTGGGTCGGCACCAGGGGTTGTGGAAAGCACCTGAGGGGGCAGGTCACACCGTGACGACACCGCCCGGGCCCTCAGAACCTCAGAATGGACCGGACTCACTGGAGCAGAACCACATTTTATTCTGCCTCACACCCGGGTCCAGAACATTCTGTTTATTGCTTAGAGTCGTGCATATTTTCAGAAAAATAAAAATCCAGAGGTTTTTTCTTTTTGAGCTTCATTTGACGTGGAAGCTTTAAAGGGATATTTCAGCCATTCTGAAGTGGAGTTTGTGAAGAGTGAATGTCTTACCTGCTGCAGATAGCTCTTAATGACTTCACAGTTTGGAGTTTTATTCGGACTGGACCAACAGGTCTGAACACGACCAAAACAGATTGTTGTCACCTTAAAACCTCCAGGACTAGTGACGCACTGGAACCAGTTTCTGGTACCGGTCCGATACTTTGGACCGAACCACGTCACTTTACATCATTTCTACTGGGGCAAAAAAAAAAAGTTAAAATGGAAACTTTAAACACAAACCAGCTGTTGGAGCAAATTACATTTCTAAATGAAGGTGGTAGTATTTGTACGATGTGTAATAGTATTTATTTTTACTCAAGTACTTGGCATCAGCAAGTACTTGTACTTGTTCTGAAAAAATGTGTTTGTGCTGATTCATAAATTACCACCAGGTTTATCATGTTATTTACACATAGCAGTAGCAGCTAGCAGTAGCAGCTAGCAGTAGCAGCTAGCAGTAGCAGCCTGGAGTCAAATCTCGATGTTTCTGTTGAAATTATGCAACACAACACTGACGGGGGCTGGACACCCCCGATGTAAACGTTCAAAAGTTATTCTACAATATTTCTGCGGGGCCGCTCTGAAGTCTGATATTTTGTAATTCTCGTGTTTTATTCAGATTTTTTATATATAGATTTTTGTGGAAATCATTTGTTATAATTATTATTTTCAGCAAAAGTTCCTTGAACCCGTTAGATCATTACAATTTAATTTTCCCTGACACATAAACAAAAAAATTTCTCCAAACTGAATCTTTTCAAAAGCCATCCACAGCAGGTAAGACATTTACTCACAACTTCCCACAGAACCATACATCAGAATGGCCAGAATATCCCTTTAAAGTCAGAGGAGAGAAAAGCTATCCTTCTCAACACCAGAGCACATTCAGCATTTCAAGGGGGGCAGATCCAATCCCCCCACCCACCCTTTAAAAGGCACGAGCTGCAGGAAGTCTCACGTGCACGGTGCACAAAGATCCAAGATGTCAACATGAAGGTTGAGCAGATGTTTGTCATTAAAAGTAAACGCTGAAATAAAACGCAGCCTGGACCGAAGCCCTGAGGTGTAAAACGTAATAAAACAATCTGAGCGGGACGGTGGCGCAGCGGCAACATTGTACTGGGTTTCCAGGCAGAACGAGCGCAGCTCCGAACGAAATGCATCCGTTTGAAATAAATAGTTGTTCTGTGATCACAGCCAAACAAACAAAAACAATAAAAACTTTACGCAGCTCCTCTGAGGACGAACGCAACGATCCAAGCTCTGAAGCTCCGGTTGTTTTCCGGTTGTTTCTACTTCCTCTACAGCTGTGAAGCAGGCGGGGAAACGTCAAACACGACGTGAGTCTGGTGAGACCTCTATCACAATTAAACAACCACAGCTACCACGTGCACACGCACGCACACACGCAAACGCACGCAGTCATGCCGGCTCAGTCAGGTGAACGTCTTCCTGATGGGACGAGAAGGTCTGGGGGGTTTTAGTGGGAAACAGGTGTGTGTGGGGGCGTCTGTGTTTGGGGCTGCTCGCCCCCTCCCATCTCACGGCGGCGTGTGTGGACCTCTTGGCCCCGCCCCCTCACAGTTTGGCAGACATGAAGTTGATGTGAGGCTTCACCAGCGGGAACAGAGGGAGGCTCCTCTTGAACTCCGTCATGTCCTGAATCAACGTGGGCTGCAGGGACAAAACCACAGGAGAGGTCAAAGTTCAACCCCTCCCCACCTTACAGACGGGACATGATGTCACAGGTCAGAGGTCATGTGGATTACCAGGGGCAGGGATGGAGCGGGAGCCAGGTTGACGTCGTTCTGAGCAGGAAACTCCCCCACGATGGGACCTGTTTCACATCAACGAGTCCACATGAAGTCCACGGAGCTCACAGAGACACGAAACACACGCAGATACTCACAGGAGTCCATCTCCCTGGACAGGACGTGCACGGACACCTTGTGTCTCTTCAGGGCCCCCACTGTCAGACGCTCCTGAGGGGAGAAAATACAACGGGGGGGACATCAAGACAGGTACAACTTGATAAGATCCTCACCTAAAAGCACTCAGGTGTGCACCTGCACCTCAAGGACAGAAGACACGCTTGGTCTCCTGGACAGAGAGGACAGACTGCGTGGGTGGGGGGAGGATGAAGGAAACCATCCACAGGCCTGTCACGGTAACTAATTCTGCCGGGACATTGTCTCAGAATTTATTGTGATGAACGAAAATATTGTTTGAAATTTGACAATAATTATTAACTTTGGTCAAATTTAAGAAGAAATGTTGGATAATTTTTGAGTGTAGTACCTTTTTTGACCACTGGATGTCAGTATAAGACTGACCCGAAGGATGGACAGTGAGGGAGCGAGCAGCGTGTCTCTTTAAGAAAAATGGGAGGGAGGACCCTTGACGTGACACGGGCTGATTCTCCTTCCTGTTTCTCAGTTCTCAAAATGGCGAACACGGTGCGGTTTGAGCTCTTTAGCATTTTTCACACAAAGCTTTTAATAAAATAATCAGTAAACAAGTTCTCAGATTCTTTTTGAAGAGAAAAACAACTTTTTACACGAAGGCACGAGTTTCAACTGAGAATTTTGGAGCTTCGACAAGACGGAGGTTCCCCCCCCCCCCCCCCCCCCGAGGTCGGCCCGTTAGCTTAGCTCGTAGCTTAGCTGCTTTTAACGATCCAAAAACACGATTTTGGATCGTTAAAACAGATTTTAAAGAGAAGGGGAGGAGTCAGCGAAGAGAGTTTTGTCATCCAGTGTCTTCAGTAGAAAGAGAGACACGAAGAAACGATAAAGCTGATAAATGAAAATGAGGTCGATCATTTTCATCCATCCATCATCTTTTACCAGCTTCTTCCATTTTGGGTCATGGGGGTCACCGGTGCCCATGTCCAGCAGTCACTGTGGGGGACACCCGGGACTGGTCTCAGTCCATCACAGGGACACACAGAGACAAACTCTCTCTCTCTTTTGGGGACAATTCAGAGTTACCATCAGTCTAAACTGAATGTTTTTGGTCTGTGGGAGGAAACTGGAGCACCCGGAGAAAACCCACGTAGCACGGAGAAAACATGCAAACTCCACCCAGAAAGACCCCCAACCAGGATTTGAACAGGCGATCTTCTCGCTGAGAGGCGGCAGCTCTACCAACTGATCCACCGTGCCGCCTATGAAGGAAACCATTTATGTCATATAAATAAAGACATTGTTCCACAGAGGAGGTCTCAGATTTCAGCTTTCCAAGACAAATGTCTCGGCCTGGCTAACAAAGACCCTAATGACCCTCAGGAGGGAGGGGAGGGAGCTCGATCTGCATGCGAGTTCAGCTCTCGTGCAGTTTAAACCTTAGAGCTCCTCATATGGGAGGAGGAACTTCGAGTATAGAAGACAGAGGTGTGTTTTCGTAGAGGACTTACTCTGTAAAAGTGCATTATGTTGTCCTTCATCAACGTCTTCAGGTGAGACACTTCGATGTTGTCTGTGGGACAAACAGGAAGTGTCACCATAATTAGTCTTAGCTTGTGTAAGGTCTTACCATTCAGGTCGTTTAGCTGGGCTTCGTTCACTCTCAGATAATTAGACTCAGAAACGGCCCCTGAGCAGGACTTCTTCACATCAGGACCACTACAGTCCGTCTGCAGAGAACTCCAGACCCCGTCTGTGAAAGGAGAACGTTGGGAGGCCTCACCTCGGTCAAAGTTATACTGCTGGGAGATGATCTCCCCCCAGTACTTGGCACACTCAGCGGAGAGCTTCTTGGGCTTGTCCAGGCGGCGGATGGCCAGGGCCTGGATGTGCTTCTGGAAGGCCTCCTCGTTCATCTCCTCCAGAGTCTTCTCCATGGTGCAGAGGAAGGCCTCCACGCGGCTCTCCAGGTAGTGAGGCGCCTTCTCCGACTGGATGATGAACCGCAGGCCCTGCACCCCGTTGGCCCGCCGAGGCCCGCTGAACACAATGTAACCTTCGGGGGTGGGGGTGAGGAGAGGAAGGAGTTGAGAGGAGCAGCAAACATCTCTTTTTTTATTACGATTCCCCTGAGGACGTCACCATGATTCTACCAGCACAATGCATTCTGGGTAACGTTCAAATGTTGCAGTGGAGACTGAAGCTCGAGGAGTCGATGCTAAAAGTTGTAACGTTTGACAATAAAGTTAGATTTTGAATTAGTCTTCAATCTGTTCTGCATAATATTTGTCGAAACGATCCGACGTGACCATCTTGTGATGTTTAGAGTATTAGCCCTGGAGCTAACGCTAAAAGGCTAAAGCTGTACGCGGTGCGTCTGGGTGTTGATGGGACTCACCGAGCTGCTCTTTGGTTCTGAGCGTGTTGAAGCAGGGTTCAGACACGATCTGACAGAAGAGCTCCAGCAGCATGTTCTCGTGGGTCGTCTGCATGTCCGTCTGGTAGTAGATCTCGATGCCGCAGTTGTTGTGAACCTCGTTTCTCTGCTGGTAAACAAACCAGCCGCCTGAAACAAACCCAGCAGAACCAGGTTCAAGTGCCGCAGACTCTCACTCAGACGAATTAACGAGCAGAGAAAAGCACCAGAACTGAGAGGAGGCTAAAACTGTTAACTAGCAATTCCACTGCTTCAGCTTTTACAACAGCCAAAGAGCGAGCCAAACACAGAGAGAGTATTCTTAAACAAAAAAACTTTAAAAATACTTGGAACGCTGACGACTGAAGTACTTTAATGACATTTAGTACAAAATGAAGTAAAGATAACCATGCAGACCACAAACTGCTCCTGAAAGCTAAAACTAGCCAAACTGCTACTAAAAGCTAAAACTAGCCAAACTGCTCCTAAAAGCTAAAACTAGCCAACTGCTCCTGAAAGCTAAAACTAGCCAAACTGCTACTAAAAGCTAAAACTAGCCAAACTGCTCCTGAAAGCTAAAACTAGCCAAACTGCTACTAAAAGCTAAAACTAGCCAAACTGCTCCTAAAAGCTAAAACTAGCCAAACTGCTTTTAAAAGCTAACTAGCCAAACTGCTTTTAAAAGCTAACTAGCCAAACTGCTCCCAAAAGCTAAAACTAGCCAAACTGCTCCCAAAAGCTAACTAGCCAAACTGCTCCCAAAAGCTAAAACTAGCCAAATTGCTCCCGAAAGCTAAAACTAGCCAAAATGCTCCCGAAAGCTAAAACTAGCCAAAATGCTCCTGAAAGCTAAAACTAGCCAAACTGCTCCTAAAAGCTAAAACTAGCCAAACTGCTCCTAAAAGCTAAAACTAGCTAAACTGCTCTTAAAGGCTAAAATTAGCTAAACTGCTCCTAACAGCTAAAACTAGCCAAACTGCTTCTGAAAGCTAAAACTAGCTAAACTGATCCTAAAAGCTAAAATTAGCTAAACTGCTCCTGAAAGCTAAAACTAGCCAAACTGCTCCCGAAAGCTAAAACTAGCCAA